TGAGAGAGACCTTCCCCTCCTGGAACATTAGTTTTGCTTCATTGAAGCTTTACAAACTAAAATATATACAAAATTGTTTGATATATGTTGCCAAGGATGACTTCAGAGGTAAAGAACCTTCTTCTCATGAACTCTGTGMATTTTTTTTCCCCTAAGCCTAAAATTTTACCCCAATTAAAGCAATAACCTTGCACATACTGGTATAAAAGCAGATGTGCAGGATTATACCAAAGGCTAATTTAACTTGCCCACTATACTGTCTCTGTGAGTGGMTCATAACTGGTGAAGGAATGGAACAACCTTTAAAAGAAAATCCTTCTTTTTGTGATCCATATCAGTCATAAGCACTTAACAACTCTGAGGATCTTAATTAACAGCAGATTAACTATTGAGAGATTTCCTCAACCAAGATTTGGGCCATTACTTTTCACGACTGCCAACAGAGCCAGCCTTCATGGATGCATCTAATTCCATTTTGAACACACATACACTTTTGGCCTCTGCAACATCTTGTGCAGGGTCCCACAATTTAATGATGTGCTGTAAGAAAAAGAACATCCTTTTGTTTGGAATCTGCTGTTTTTATCTTCCTTAGTCTGATCATTCTGTGTGTTCAGAAACAATCAATAATTATTTCTTATTCCTTTGTCACACCMTTTTTGCTTCATAAAAGTTTCTGTTATCTCATCTTAGCCCCTTTTGTAAGCTACCTAATTTAGTCCTTCCTTATATGAACAGCCATTCTATTTTTCTATCCCTTATTGAGATGTCGTGAAGACAGTCACGTGCTATTACCAGAATCTCAAGAATGTTTTATTTATCCTCTCAGTAACATTGTGCTTGCATTATGACCATTGCAGAGAATGATCACAAGTTTTCAGGAATTTGTCAATGAACAGAGTCTTAGATCTCTTACTTCAGGGTTAAGAGCTRTTGTATCCATTTTGCATCTTTATAAATCTGATTCTTTTACTGATACTCTGCACTTAGTGACTAAGAGATTACACTAATTTCCTACACCAATTGATCATCAATTAGTGAGTATTGTGTGATGCTTCTGGAGCTGTGACCAGCTTTGAATATGCCAGACAATACAGTGTGACCTGAAATTTTGTCATCTCTGGCATGACCAGTTTTTCAGAGCTACAGAAAAAGGGAGTTGTAGTCTACCCTAAATGTAGTGACTTCATTCTTTAACAGTTTTAAACTGCAATCAGGCCAGTCCCCCAGATCTTCAGCAGAGGCTGTGCTGTTGCCCAACAGAAAAGTACYATAGCCTATTTCAGAATCCAGAACTCGTGAATATTATTTTTTTTGTTTTAGAGCTGCTCTGGAAATTACTGTGACCCTTACCAATTTGTGACTTCAGGCAGAGTTGCATTTGACAGCTTTCTATCTTTCTTCTGGTATTTGCAAGTCACTACTCTATGCAATAACACAAGGGGAGCTGGAGCTGCTACTTCAGGCAGATTTCCTTAGTGTCCTCTTAGCCACAGAGAATGTCAGTATCCTGCAGTATGGCTTTGGTCAAGTGTAACAAGCCAGTCCTGTGAAACTGTTCTGAACTGCTACTGCTCTTGGTAGGTTAATGCTGTTCCAGCTGAGCATGGGAACAGCTGGGTGAGTCTGATTGGCAATTGCTTGAAGATGGGTGAAATACCTTCCTGGAAATAGCAAAGAGGGCTTCATCTGTATGGGATGTTCACTGTATCATTTGAAAGGCCATAGGAGTTGTAACCAGGTGAAATAGGCTCATGGACCGATTATTTACCATCTGAGAGACTTTAGGAATGGTGATAGAAAAGATGACACATTCCTTCTAAAAGCAAACTCCACTTTTCCTTAAACAATGGCTAGTTTCTTGTTCAAGCAACAGAACCAGCCATCCTGCCTTTCTGATTCAGCTTTTAAAACAAGTAATTAAGACCATACTGACAGGCTAATTGGCATCTTTTGTTTACATCTGTATCAGAGGAGAACTAAAACTGAGCATGTACTGGTGGCTAATCTTTGTACCAGTGAATGACAGGTAAAGTAAAAGTAAAAATCAAAAAATCACCAGTAAAACCAAACTAAAATGTTGTCCATATATGAGAATGTCTTTAAATTATTTTTGAAATAAGTTTATAAGCTGTTCCAAGTGTTAGGAATATTAATCCACAAGCACCAGAGGTTTATGTCCAAAAAGGAGACAGAGGAGTCCCATAACTTTATCCATGAATTAAGAGAGAGGTCATGGGATTTTCAATGGGGTCTCTCAAATTCATAGAGGATGCAGCCTCTTTTTAGCCTAATTTCCTGGCCGCAGTTCCCTCTCTCTTAGCCCCTTGGCTGAGGTACTTGAGAGGTACAGGCTCCCCAAAACGCCTGATGAAACCCCCCTTCTATCATACATTGCCCCCTTTCAATATACATCTCTGTGTCTCTGCTCTTGTATCTGGTAACATAGTCTGGGATAAGTCAATCAAAGGAATTCCTATGGAAATGCTTCCCATTGTTTCCTTCTATCTCCCAGTATCAGCTTTATCTTACCCCCAGAATCAGTCTGTTTGTAACGACACTCCCTTCTCATTCCTTTCACAAGGATTAATCAGTTTATCAGCCAGAAAAATTGCATATTATCCTGATTTTTCTTTCAAAACTATTAAATTATTTCGATATGGGAATGCAAAAAAAAKGCAGCATGGGACAGAATCAAATTGCACATCAGTAACTGGTTACCTGAGATACTCAAAGCTGTTCATAATCATCACTTTCATCAACTGTGGGTCATTCATATTAAAGCATGTAATCTTAATCTGTTGGTACAGCAGGATCTCTGTTCACTGTGTATTTTACAAAGCATTTTCTCACTTTGTCTCCTTCAACCTTGTAAACTACTTGTAGTAGGTTTGGAAGATGTTTTAGTTTTTTTCTGCCTTTTGTTTTTCCTATTTATTTATCTCACCTCTTCACCAGAGAGAAAAGACAATGCTACTAATGTTATGAGGAAAAACGCAGCCTTGTGGTTAAATCTTCTTCAGAAATGTGTTCTGTGGTGCTACGCATAGCTAAGAGATGTCAGATAGGCTGCTGGTGTCACCCAGTGGACAGAGAGTTGATCACAGATAGGTGTCATTTACAAAAACTTTTCTTTCTGCAGGAACAGCTCATTCCTAACTGATAAAAACAGCCTTAACTTTGCCACAGTGATGATGATATGATGCTTAAAAGCACCTCTGTTCTAATGCCATGGCCAGAACTAAAATGTACACAGCAAAGACAGGATGCAGTACACGTTCCTCGCTGTTAGTAGGAATCGAGCAAAGAATAATCAAACAATAACTAATGGATACTCTCCCCTACTGGGAGAAAGTAACTAAAAKAACAAAGTAAAACTGTTTGTGCTGCTGTTATGGAAAGGGGTGGGGATTATTAAAATCCAATTTAAAGCAATTCTGTGCAATGCAAAACATGATTGCATTTTCGTAGCCTAATAACAGCTTGCAACAGAGATAAACAGCTTGTCAACAGGGGTGAACGAGACCTGGAGAATCCTCTCTTTGCAGTGTTACAACAGTAATGTCTTTCAAAATATGTAGTATATACTTTGCATGCAAAACTTCAATGCAATAAATTGCCTATAAATTAATCTCTTACAAAAAGATTCTAGTGTTTCCAGATCACACATGAAAACTATACAAGTACTTAAAACTAACTACAGTGCATRTTCTGTCTTACACATTTTCCTGATTTCCAGAGTACTTCTCAGTGTAGGAAAAGTGAAGAAGTTTAAAGACTAAAACACGAYGTTGACTGATGTGCTTCAAGACTTTTTGCCAGAGATGAAGCAGAAATGGAGCTAGGTGCACATAGGTAGTTGGATCATATTCCTTTTGTAATGCTGTGGYAACTAGCATGTGCTTCTTGCCTCTTGCAGGGGGAATGAGAATGAATTGTTGCATTGAAATTCCTGAACTGCTAATAGATAAAGAGGCTGCTGGGACAAGTCAGTACTCCTGAAGAGAAAAGATTAGCATTTAACTCTCCAATGGCTCAAACTCTTTTAAAACACAGTCACTCATTTGTAACCAGATCATAGAAGTAGCACTGGAAGTTAAAAAATTGACTGTAATAGTTTAAACATACCRAAAACCTTCCGGGAGCTATGTTACATCTCTTTTTTAATAAAGAACACTCACGAACTTAGTCATATTTCTAATCTTACTATATACAGACTTACGCAAATATACTTCGTGCGGGGTATTTCCTTAGTACTTGGCCATGTGAAGGGAGGACAGTGTCTTTTATTATATCACTACTCACTAAGCTTATGGTGTAAGGAAAATGATCTGGTTTGAAATTTTCTAGCAGCATACTGCTGTGTGGAACGTTTTTTCACTCATTTTTATTAGAAAGTACTGGTTCCTGGAAGCCAAAACATTTCAACAAAACAAAAAAGATACTTTGTCACACTGCTACCAAATCACAGGTTTTAGCTCAACTGAAGCAAAAGCTTCTTGTGGTTACTAATCTTTGGGTCCCACAATGCCACAGTAGCCACACACATACTACAGTTTCCTGGTACTTTGCCACAGAGCTAGAAAGTCCTCAGGTTTTAGGGCCCTGCTTTACATTAAGGGATTGTTCAGGGTTACTCCTTTGACTGTTTCAGAAAAAAAGAATGATGTGAAGAATTCATCTAAGCTAGGAAAAGCAATTCATTCCAGCTTCAAAGATACAGATTCAAATAATATTTGGTTTTCAGAAACAGGATTTTTTTTTTTTTTGGTAGGAAATTCTAGTATTTCTAAACTTTTGTTCTCCTCTGGAAGTAGTCTTTTAATATGAATTTCCTAATTTTCTGTTGAACACATATTTGGAATTGGTGCCAGTTAGACATTTCTGGTGAGACAACTTAGACATTTTAGCAACAAGATAAACATAAAATTATTTTTGAAAACTTTTGAAAAGTTTTTAAACATGTGTTGGAAAACTATCTGTCATCTGGTAAAACCCACCTGAGCACAAGGCATACTTCTGTTCTTGTTCTTCCTTCAAACAGCTGCTTTGTCTTGTCTTCACTAGTGTCCTTGTTTGCTTTTGCAGATGAGACACAGGCTACTATTATCTGCTCCTTAATGGACATTTGACTGTCACTGAGGTGATCATAGTCCAGGTGTGGCAATTAGGAAATCTGATGATTAGTTCAGTTGCATATCTTTTCTTCCTTTCCCATAATTCTGTGAAGCACAGCAAGTCTAGCTGCTGSGGATATCGCTCACAGCTTGTCCCTGCCATAAGGAAGACAAAACATCAGGGACAGTGTTACTAAGTTAGATTAGCAAATAAATCAAGCACAGATTGAAGAATAACATAAAATTCTCTCTATAAAGGAGAGGCCTGGGCCCAGTCATTCCCTCTTATCTAAGGCATGCAGTCATCTCAGCATTTCATGTGTTTCTTAAGGCCTATTGCAACCAGGAGTGCTGCGGAACTYCTGGCTTCTGCCAAAATACAGCCTCTGAAATCCTGCCAACAGAAGGAGGGATGTGCTTTAACCAGACGAGCTAGCCAGGCAGGCTTTGGTAACAGCCAAGAGCAGACTTCAAAGGTTACTCCCTAATTACTTGAATGTCTCATAGGCACCTCTTATCTGAGGCAGTTGATTGTAGCATACTCCTTTTATATTCATGTGTATGTGCCA